CATGGCTCTCGTTTGCTTACCATCAGGGTCTAGTATCACCCTGAAGGGGTTAGGTGTATGATAACGCCTGGATTAATATACACAGCAAAATAAATAGACATATAGTGCAAACTATTACAATATCTTACTTGCAGATTATCATAAGGATTTAGCTACAAATCCATACCAAAAAAAACAAAAAAAAAACAGATATAGTTTTATAATCTAATCCAAGATATAGTACCATTCAAAGGTTTGGGGTCATACAGATTTTATTTTTACTTAAATACAATTTAAAGATATAATACTTTTATTTGGCAAGGATGCCTTCAATTGATCAAAAGTGACAGTAAAGACTTAAAATTGTTACAAAAAAAAAAATCTAAATAAATGCTGTTCTTTTGAACTGAAAAAAATGAATCAATGTTTCCACAAATATATTAAGCAACTGTTAGTAATTAATAATAAGAATATTAAGAATAATTAATAATAAGAAATGTTTCTTGAGCAGAATATCAGCATAATAGAATGATTTCTGAAGGATCATGTGACACTGAAGATTGGCGCTGAAAATTCATCTTTGACATAAGGAATAAATAGAATTTTTGAATATTTCTATGCTTTGGTGAGACTTCTTTCTAAAACATCTATTTTAAGTTTAACTGGAGACTCGTAACCTTACAGCCTCTGTTTAACTAACTGTAAAATTGATACAGATGTTCTCAGAGGTCATTTTTAAAACAATAAGTAGCCAGAGTGGTGCTGGACAATGTATTTGTTAGCCAAAACCCACAAATAAATTCTTATTTTAGCACTTCCGGTTTCATTGACCTGAAGTCAATGGGTTTTGAATGGGTTTTTAGTTAAATGCTTGAAAAAAGGTGTGTGGTGAACAAGCTCAAGATATTTTTTCAATATTTTCAAAATGTCTTGTTTTATCATTGTCTAAATGGGACTAGAGGTTGTCGGGAACATTAAATGTCTTCAGCTGAACAGGTAAACTCATCTACACACAAGTCCGCTTTCACAGCCTCGTTGTGCTTATAATTGCGCTCCTGCAAACTGTTGTAACCTGAACTTTAAGGAAAATTGTTTGTTTAACAAAGACTGAAAGAGTTGCCAGAAGCTTAGTGTTGGTGACATTAAAATCATCCGAAAGTGGTGTAGTTCTCCACTCTATTGCGTCACATGATGGCATATGGACATGATGGATTAACATATAGATGTAATGCATGTATGCAAATGCCGTTTGGTTACTTGTTTTCCTAAAGGAATATTTCAACCAGATTTAAACATTCTGTCGTCATTTATTCACCCTCATGTTGTTCCAGCCCGGACTTTATTTCTTCTGTGGAACATAAAATATATTTTTACATTGGTTTAGAATGACATGAGAGTGTGAAAATGACAACACAAATGTTAGGTCACTAAAACAAATCATTTAATAAACTTTTTCTTATTTTTCCTACTTATTGTTGGCCATCAAGGGAGAGCGGAGACTGATTTCAATAACATTAAATGACTGCATTCAGTGGTCATACCATTCACACCTCATGACATTTTATTCCACACAAAGCCTATTATTTGGTTTTTAAATGCCCATACCAGACATAAAACAACATAGGGAGGAGGGTGAGAAAAACAGAGCGAGCGTGAGAGAGATGAGGTGGTTTAAAAAGTTCATTTCTGGGCACATTCATGAAAAGCAGTATGCTCGCTTCAGATATCCATGGCAACCTTATGCTATGAATTGAGTCTAAAAGATGCATGGTAAAACGACAGATAGACTCTTTTTGTTTGACAGCAGTAGCGACTGAGTGAGAGTGAAAGAGACTGTGTGACACTATGTGTTTGTGTGTGTACAAGGGGGAGAGAAACAGAGGGGGTAAACAGGCACCCGGGCAACTTGCCCAAAATCTGTCTGTCTCACGGTGGGTTTGCTAAATGAAGGTCTAATTTGCAGAGGCCTTGGGTAAAGCGGGGAAGAGAACATACTGCGACTTTAAACGAAAACTGAACCCTCTCAATACAGAGATAACAGGGATGCAGCAACAGGCCTGAGAGCTGCTGGGGTTAATCAATAAATGCTGATTTTATGCTTTTCCAAAGAGACAATCAAACCTCATGCTTGTTTAATTGCCATTTTATGACACAAGCTCCAGACAGCGTGCTCAAATCATGTTATAAACCTATACATTCTTACATATGGAACACCAAAGAAGATTTCGAGGAAAATGGCCAGACTGCTCTTATAGAGCAAGAGAATTTCCAACTCTTCAAATCACCAAAGACAAAAACCATAAATGGACAATAAGGAAGAAAAAAAAGTTTATACCACTTATGTGCTATATTATTGTTTCTTGTTGCTCACTGTTATTACTCATGGAGAATAAACATAGAATCATCACATAAGGGGGGAAGAGGGAAAAAATTGTTCATAAACTTTGTTGGTTCAAATATCATGATATATTGGGTCTGAATTAGCAAAAGCATGAATAAGATGGATGAAAGCAGACTGAGTGAATAATTTCAATTCCACTTAGTTTCTTTTCATTTGGCTTTACACAACAATATGAAAGACTTGTATGGTCCTTTCTGGAGCAGCTGCGGTTACCAATTTCAGATAATCTGATATACTAATATATATAGAAGGAAAAAAAATATATTTATGAATCAATAAAATAAAATAAAAAGTTTTGGTTGAACTATTCCTTTAACAAATTAATGAACATCAGTTCTTCTGAAAAATATGAAAAGTTTGAAGCACTGAATATTTATGAATATGAATTTGTTGACCTGTATGGTGAAGCTATCCCAATGTAGAAAATTCAAATTTAATGCCAAACTGTACAAGCCTTTAGAACCTTTTATGTGTTCTGTTCTAGCATTGACAACAAAAGCAGCATGCATACTGATGTGTATGCTTCTTAGACTTTCTTTTATTGTGGGAATGAATCTTGTGCTCAGATATGTAGGGACCAGGGGCGGTTTCTTCATTGGGGCGATTGGGCGACGCACCACCAAAGTGTGAATCATCACACTCACAATCTCATTCAACCAGAGAGTTACGCTAGCCATCACTATATAGTCCAATCAGTGTCATGTCACGTTCTGTGGAGTACCGCCTCTTTTTGGGCGATTTCACTCTGGCTGAAAATCGCCCAGAGTGTTCCCATAGACTTACATTCAAAGATGTTTTTTTTCGAACTGCAGGCACTGCAACGCATTCTCTATGGGTTCCGGGAGGGCTCGCACTAACGTGCTTACATCATCATACGTATCCTTAACTTGTGCAGCGATTGGTGGGAACAAACATCCACTATTAAAAATCTTTAATATTAAGTGACAAATAATATTTTAAAACAATTTTGAATTCAAACAGCAACAATAAAAAATGAAACACTACTTAATTATCTTTATCAAATTGATTAAAAAAAAAAAAAAAAGCGAGAGCGAGAGAGACTGTTGGGACATCTCGCGAGTTGTTGTGGCTACAGACAGTTGAACTTGAACAACGCCATGGCGAACACAGTCCTTTAGAAGCCTACACAGCAAATTTCAGGAGTTGAAAAATCATGAGTTAGGCAAAAAAGAGTTACTTTTGAGTTATTTTTTTTAACTCTGACTACACTTTGTGTTATTGGATACTCCCCGGCTGTGTTGTATTTTGGAGTTCATTCATTGGTGTTCAGGAGTGTGTTTTGGTTTAACACTAGCTACACCTGGAGTTATTTTTGAGAAATGCGCCTCGACACGACCCTGCCGCTGGATAAAGGAATAATGGACTTATGTGCCTCGTCGTGAGGTAGGTAAAAGAGTATATAAACTATTTAAAAATGTTCTATATTTTCTGACAAACACGTTTGGTCATCGCGTAGCTGCTACGTTATATAGGCTAGTTATACTGTTTACTAACGTCAACGATTATGACAAACTTGCTGTTGAACGTTTGTTTACTTGTTTCAAATTTTGAAATGGCTATTTGCGTGGGGTTTTTGTCAATGTAAACGAGTTAACATTAGCTAACCGTCTTTCCATTCACCGTGTTTCTGAAAATGAGTGTTTTACCGTGAAGTTGATGCATCAATGCATTACAGGCATAACGTTACGTGGTTACACAATTGCAGTGTCTAACGTTACCCTGGAAAATAAGATAGTTGTGCTGTGTAGGCCTGCAATGATTTGAGTTGTAACAGCTATAACGTTAGGCTACGTATTAGTGGTGACCCACGATCACATGTGCGTGATTTTCAGCTAATATATTTTTGCATTCTCAATGAATGGTGCTAGATTATGCCTCATACTGTTGTTTTTGTGATCTTCATATACGACTGTCCTGCAGACAACCGGTTGAAGGTTACTCCTCCTCAAATCTGAACCAAATCGATTTGCTGAAATAAAGGCAGTAAATCAAGAATATGGTGTTCAGTGTAGTAATTTCCACACAAAACATTATATTGTGTTAAATAAATGTTAACTCTAAGAAGTGTTAAACTAAATATTTTTTTTGAGTGTTACTTTTTAACACTGGTAATGAGTTCATATAATTATTTTTTAGAGTTACATTTACGCTCCGTAGGTTTAGTATTTTAACTCCATAAATTTTAACTCCGAAAAAGTGTTAAATTCAACTCCAAGAGCAGAGTTATTTTAACTCTGCGCTGGAGTCTATTTGATGGTCTCACATGTACACTCAGATTGAGTTGATTTTAACTAACGGAGTTTATTCCAAAAAACAGAATTTGCTGTGTATGGAGGAGTGATCCAGCTCTTAGATATAATCAAAAATATCTTAATTTGTGTGCCGAATCTCTTTAATGTGATGTAATAAGTGTAATAATAGTGAGTATAGAAACAAGAAGATTTATTGTTATTAAGTCACTTTATTAGTCATTAATATTAAAGTGAAGTTGACTTTACATGCTTAAGCTTTTAATTTATCCATTGCATGGGTGGGCCTTGTCCTTATCAATCATCCAAATATTTGCCCCTCCTGAGAGATTTTGCAGGAGCCGCCACTGGTAGGGACTCATTTTCAATGTACTTTGAAGACCTTCATTGGACATCTACCTTAAACAGTCTCATTATTTGCCTCCAATATCCGCAAAGCATTTGCTTCTGAAACCTGCACAAAAACAAAAACATTCCCTTATTACAATACAGATAAATAATAATAAAAAAAAAAAAACACTGATCTCATTATCTATGCACTATTATAATATTTATTAATCAGCTTTTATCTTTTCGTTGTGTGCTTTAATCATGTTTATTATTTATTTTTATTTATATGTCTATATATTTATAAATAGAAATAAATATATATATGAGACCCTGGATCACAAAACCAGTCACAAGTAGCACGGGTATATTTGTAGCAATTAGCCAACAATATACATTGTGATAATTTTTTCCTCTATGCCAAAAATCATTAGGATATTAGGTAAATATCATGTTCCATGAAGATATTTAGTAAATTTCCTACCACAAATACTATAATATAGAACATTTATTTTTGTGAATGAATGAAGCACAATCGCGAACATACATGACTAAAGTTTAAAGTTTAAACTTTAAAGGACATTTTCTCAATGTTTCGATTTTTTGGCATCCCCAGATTCCAGATTTTCAAATAGTTTTATCTCTGCCAAATATTGTCCTATCCTAACAAAGTTTATTTATTCAGCTTTCAGGTGATGTCTCAATTTTAATAATAATAAAAAAAAAAAGTTACCCATGTGATGGTTTTTGTGTTCCAGGGTCACACATATTTCTTGCTTTAATTTATTTTTAATGTTTTAGTAATTTTAGCAATTTGAAAAACATTTTATTTCAGTAGTAACATTTGTAATTATTTTTTTTTCATCTATTTCATCTAATATTGATACTTTATTTCAGCTAATGAAAACAAATTGTGATAGTTTTAGTTAACAAGAGCAACACTGTTGGGCGGTAGTGTTGTTACCACCAGTAATCAATTATTTGTAGATTAGTCTAATGACATTTCTCCACAGAAATGTTTTAAACCATTAGAGACTAAATGTTCAACAGAGAAGCTATTTTATTTAAGTAGTGTGATAACATTGACACTCTTGTAAGAAATTGTGACCCAGATTCCACTCCAAAATATTTCTAGCTCATCCCCAAAATGGCTTAAAGGGTTAGTTCACCCAAAAATGAAAATTAAGTCATTAATTACTCACCCCCATGCTGTACCAACCCCGTAAGACCTTCGTTCGTCTTCGGAACACAAATGAAGATATTTTTGATTAAATTTGAGAGCTGTATAACTACCACATTGGCTCCTAAGGGACTGCCTCTTGACGGCCCAAAAAGTCAATGAAGAAAATGTTTAAATATCCCAAGTGACTACCGTGGCTCAACTATACGTTTATCAAGCGACGCGAATAATTTTTGTGCGAAAAAACAAACAAAAATAACGAGTTTATTCGACTATTTCTTTTCTTCCTTGTAGGCCAGAACGAGAATTCCTTAGATTTCCACGACGCATGCGCGAGATTTGCGATCTGCTTACACCAGCTTAGATCGCAATTCTCGCGCATGCGTCGTGGAAATCTATAAGGAAGTCTCGTTCTGGCCTACAAGGAAGAAAAGAAATAGTCGAATAAACTCGTTATTTTTGTTTGTTTTTTCGCACAAAAAGTATTCGCGTCGCTTGATAAACATATAGTTGAGCCACGGTAGTCACTTGGGATATTTAAACATTTTCTTCATTGACTTTTTGGGCCGTCAAGAGGCAGTCCCTTAGGAGCCAATGTGGTAGTTATACAGCTCTCAAATTTAATCAAAAATATCTTCATTTGTGTTCCGAAGACGAACGAAGGTCTTACGGGGTTGGTACAGCATGGGGGTGAGTAATTAATGACTTAATTTTCATTTTTGGGTGAACTAACCCTTTAATTATCATAGAGATGAAGAAAGTGAAGTTATATTGTTTCTTCACCATTTAGGTTGATCACATCCTGAGCAAATGGTAGTCAATTGTAGAATAGGAATGGGTGTGGGACACAGAGAACTTTCTCAGTGTCTCAACGTCATTAACAAACAGAACACAGCTGTTACAACAAGAGCAACTTCATTTACATTAAGAGTGGTAAACTGTAACAGGATAAAAGGTTTAAGATTTGGATGTTCTGTATTCATTCTGATGCCAGTGAAACCAAAGTGCTTTGTATACCTTGCCACTGCTATGCTGTGATAAACTTCATTTTTGATATCTTCGACATCCACATCATTATTTCTTACACTCTCTACAACATCAAACACTCTCTACAACATCAAATATTTCAGCAATCATTCCTGTATTTTGAAACTGACAGTTTTAAATAATAACTAGTGCAAATGAATGACTCTTTTGAGTCCTTTCGTTTCAGTTAATCAAACAGGTAAGCAAAATGGTCAGGAATATTTTCCCATATACAGTAGTTTGTAGCATAACTAGCTACTTTCTCTAAAGGGTAGAACTCAGATCATCTTAGTTAATTTGTAGTAGTTAGTAGCTTTGCTCCAGACCTAAGTTCTATTACAATGACAAATCTGCATTTTCATTCATACGTGGTTGGTTACTTCTTCCGGTGAGATTCTGAAGTGCGCACCGATCGGCACTTTACTGTCAGAGTATTTATGAATGACAGTGAAGTGACGCAACTGACGCCAGGAGATCACATGATAATGACAACATGGTGCATGAAGTATGTCCGGATTACATTCATACTCCACACATTCATACTATTTAGGACATAGCCTACATTTTTAGGGATTGTGGAGTAAAAACTTCAAAATCAGTACCTACTCAAGATAATAAGCAATTTTGGACGCAGGAAATGGTTCCTCAAATCTTGCCCTGGAGGGTCAACCCTGATCAAATACACCCGAACAAATTAATCAAGGTCTTCAGGATCACTGGGAAAAATCAAAGGCTGAGTCCAAAATCATCTCCCTACCCTTAAATAGGGAAGAAGTCTGTAGCGCAGCTCGCTTCAGTGTGGGCTCTGACAAAGTGCGAATCGAGGGTACATATCGGATGCAAAGGAGGTCTGAAGGCAACACTTCTGAAACCTAAAATTACAAATGGGACACCCTAGAGCCTCAAGGACTTAACAGACATGCGCGAAGCACATTGTCCACAAGAACGTAAGTGCATAAGTGTGCCATTTGGGACAGGGCCATACACTCAACGGCTAGAGAATACCCATAATGCACTGTAAAGGTCGTGCTGAATGAATTCCCGTGTCTGACCTGAAGATGGCGCCCACAGCTTAATCATCCATCCATCCATTTTCCTATGTGACTACAGTGTGATATCATATGTATACTTTTACTTGATTATTAAATTGCTTGATTAAGGTTTATACATGATAGTTTCCATGGAAGAGTTCAAGATAAATCTTTTCATCTTTCAACTGGAGCTGCCAGTTTGCCTAGTTTCAAATGATTATTGGTTTTTCATTCACTCCTTCAAGTGGACTATATAAGTGGAGTTATGCAGGGAATAGTGAATTAGGGTATAGGGGACGATTGTGAACACAGCCACAGGTAGGTGAGCTTTCAGAGTTTGAGCTAAACTCTGTAGGGCAATGGCCCATCAGATGGTTATTTAGATGGTTGGTACCTGACAAGGACTGTACTTAATTTCGTTGTACTTGTTACAATGACAAATAAATATTCTATTCTATCAGGACCGGATTTAAAGAACCCTGATTAAGACTTTTGGCTTACGTATATCTCATCCTTCTGTTGGGAATGCAGGGCCAGGCACTTAACAAGCTGCTTGACTGGTGTTCATCAGCAGGTTTGGCTTGCTCTCGTGGGCTAACAGTGGAGACAATCTGACAGCCTGTTCTCCAAGAGTGGGCTTAATATCGAATCGTTCTATGAAGAAGTACAAAGAAAATTCAATGTACTGAATTTTGTGTGTATACAAATAACACACCCTTTCACATGACACACATATTGAGAAATTATGTTTTAAATAATTAAAAACAGAAATTAGTCAATGAGTGTTACTCACTTGGGTCTTGGGTTCTCTCCTCTTTTCTGTGTTCTATGTGCCTGTGTATGATTGCAAGGACCTTGCACTGGTTGATGATGATGTTTGGTTCAGCTAAAACCTCACTGAGTCTCAAGTTGCTCTTTATGGCCACTGAGGCTGTGGAACGAGCCACCATGGGCAACTGGTCTTGGTAAGCCTTGTCTGTGAAGCCTTCCTCCATCTTCTGTATGGTTTGGATCCTGCAGGAAGCATAAGACAAGCCAAATTAAGACAAGGTGTGACATTAATTAGTCATTAGCTTTTGAAGCATATGTGACTCATTACGAAATCACGACTGCAAGCCAATTCGCACATTTAAATTACACACTTAAAGTATGTATTTTTATCCATCAGAAATGGATTATATCATGAGAAGTTGGCTTACCAGAATTGAGAAAAACATAATGTGAGTTTTCAACAACAATGGCAAAAATGTTTGGCTAGCATTTGGTTTACATAATCTGATGAGAAAGTAAATAGGAAATCTCACCTTCTGTTGGTAAGCATGCAGTAAATCTCCTGTACAAGAAGCTCTGCGGCTCCAGGTTTACAGTGGATTGTGCCATCTACGATCTCCTTGATCAGACAGATGTTTTGCTTCACAAGAAACTTTAAACAACCAAAGAGGCTAGATCTTTATTAAACTTGAATATTTTAAGGGAAAAAAGGCCAACACATAATAGACATTGATGATGAATACAATTTCAATGAACAATTATTTTCATGTTAGTTGGTGATCATTTCTTCAGGGTATCAAACTCACTTTCTCAATCTGGGACCAGTTTGATTGTTTTGTAGCCAAGGAAGTTCCATTGTCATAGGAGTGCATATGAAAATCCTCTGGGAAATACCAGGAAAATATTTCCGCCACTAGGTATCCGTTGGAAAAGTCTCTTTGGTCAAAAAAGAGAGCAAGGCACGTGTATACCACATTTCATCCTTAATGGGAATTTTCATAAATATTTTTATATAGATAGATCAGTGGAACTGACATGAGTTAGCCTCACTGATCTATGACGTGCCTCACTGATCTATATAATGACGTTGTCATTCTATATCAGTGGTTAGCCTACACTTGATTATAAATCTAAACTAATAAGCGATATGCCATATTTAAGATTGTATGCAGATACACTGAGATCCAATATTGTTCAAGCTTGTGCGACTGAGACGCTATCATCTTCTCAAACATAACGTACACTCAACTCACCTGCGCACGTTTTTTGGAAAAAACGGTAAATCAAGACTTTGCAGCCATTTCAAAACCTCTCGTGGTATACCAGCCTTCTTAGGCGACTGTGAATAGGCCATTTCGAAGTAAGGTTAACGACGACAGAAATGATTTGTTTGTTTGACGAAGAGAACAACCCACCTACAGTACGGTTTCATTGTTTACAGTTGCATGGAAACAAGGCCGAGTACACGCACTGTTGATGTGCTGCCACCTGCTGGCAGAATAAGTATACTCACTTATTTGAACGGGAATGAACATGAGCGAGGCTGTGAAGGGTAGACTCATAGACTGCTGCGTCTCAATTTGCTACTTATACTACGCCTTAAAAGTATGTACTCTTTTCGTGAAGAAAAAGTACATGCTTTTGAGAGTGTAGCAGAAGAGTAGACAATTTTTGGGGCATAGACTTACAATACGTCATACAATTCCGTCTTCAACACTGATATAATGACATCATTGCGCTGTCGCTTAGTTACACGCATCCTGTCACAGGAAAGTGGCCTGTCAATCATCTTTTCAAAGATAAAATCGTCTTCGTCTTAAATCGTCTTAAATTTCATTTAATTTAATTTGCTACTGTACAACCCCATTTATCTAAACCTCGGTTTGTCGGTCGCACATCCGCCATGTTTTGTAGTTTTCTTTAACACTTCGTGATTGTAGTTCTGAACTTTATCCTCCTCCAAAGCGCAATAGGTTGATTGTGGTCAATTAGCTGTCATTGATAATAAAGTAGACATAACAGTGATTTCAAATAGAAGCTTCATATGAAATCATGAGATAAATTAGAACATTTCTGATAGACAGTGGATTGCTAGTGGATTACAGCTGGTCTTTCTTCATAGATATTCAGGAAATTGAAAGGAGGAAGTCAAGTGATGTCATCAGTGCTATTTTTATTTCAAAATAAGTGCAACAACTCCAGGGGACCACTACTTGCATTATACATTTTATAATATTTATTCAGCATTTACATAATAAATTTGGTATCAACACCTATAAATAGCTAGATGATCAGTATGCAGTAAGAAGGCATGCAATGCCGGGACACTCATTGGAATTAGATAATTTAAAGTGGAAAAAGTTAAAGTAAAATAAACAAGATGAGGTACCATTATTTAAGTATTTAAGGACACCAATCTTCTTGTCAAATCAGGCCAAAAAAGATTATTATTAAATGGAAAAAGGTAAAACAGCTTTTATTTAAAACTATTATTAACTAAGGCAAACAATACTTTAAGACTAGATGGTCTGCTGCCAATAAACATAATCAGATCATCTATATTGTAGAAAGTTCTTCATAGCATTAGGGAGGGGTAAATATTGTAGAAGATGTAGTCGTGAACGTCCCAAACTTTCCCTGATTTGCTGACGGCACAGCTGGCGTAGAGAACGGGGTGTCGCTGCAAAAGGAACAAGCTTGTAAGGGCTGATGCAGTAAAACATGCAAAAGTCAAAACCAAACATCAGTGACTATAATGCTGCTGTACATTTAACTCACCTTCATAAATCAATAGGAAGCCCTCTGTAAGGCTCCCTGGAGGAGCAACATCTACGGGCCGTTTATACTCCAGGTTGCGTGCATTTACATCTGCCCCAAATTCCAGCAGGAGCTTCACTATGCTTACACAGTCTTTTTGGGCTTCTGCATGAAGAGGAGTCTCCATATGTGCCCCTTTCTGCACATTTGCACCTGTGATGGTGAAAATGCACTATATTAGTTCAGTATGGGTTATTTTACGAATATTAAGCCTAACTTTATGTGTAAACTAGTAGAGGACAGTATATTGGTTAAAACAGATAGAATAGAACCGATATAGGGCTATAAGTGTTTCATTTCTATCACAGTTATATTAGTTGAACCATCTGCAATGAATATTCAGCTCTACGCATGGCACAATAAATCATATTAACCCCTTACCTGTTAGTTTTCAAAATTATTTTCAAATTCTTTCATTTTCTTGAAGGCACTACATAGACTTGCACCATGACTTTTAAAAATGCTTTCAGTCTATAAAGCAGGAAGGCCCCTGAGATTGTGTGCTTTGTCTCTTATAGTTGTTATAAGTAGAACTAAAACATTTAGAGAAGACATTCAGCCATTTTATTCAGAGGAAGCGAGACATGCAGAAAATCTTAATATTTTTAAACATAAACACCTCTAGTTTGGTCATCATTATTTATAATTTTGATTTTGAAAAATTCCATTGGTGATCCTTCTTTGTTTGAAATAAAATTTGATTTATTGATTGAACTCGAGTTGTGAATGTGAGTTTACATTCTGTGATAAGATAAAAATATTCACAAAAAATGACTGTTTAGAGCAGATTCTTTTTTATGAACTGTTTTTATTCACATAAACCAGTCTGACACTGAGGTGACACACCGTCTAAATCAAATCAACATCTGACTCGCTTACTGAACTCCACTTTAGCAATGTCCATACAAATATACTGACATACTGACTCTCCACTACAGTTGAAAAATGAATTACTTATTGTCAGGTTGTCATAAAACTGCTGTTTGTTTGTCCACACTTGTCTGCACAGGCACAGCTAGGGTGAATTTTTTACATGTTTACCTCCATCAAGCAGCATGCGGGCACATATGAAGTCCTTACACCGACAAGCACTGTGGAGAGGGGTGCCCATGTGAGGGATTTCATAATCCACATCCACACCCCATGCAACCAGCGCCTCCACACACTTGCTGTGACCTTTTGAAAGAGACCATATAAAAACATGCCATCTTAAAAACTTCAAAAGTCTATTCAGCTAATTAGAGTTCCATAGTCCTATACAAATACAAAATTAGCCCTAATTTTGATTTGTGTGGACTATCAATCTCATACCCACCCATGCTGACTGCCTCATGGATGGGTGAAGGCTGGAATATAGCCAGGGCATGTGGTCTGGCGTCACTCTGCAAGAGCAGCTCTAGACATGCCAAACTGCCAGCTGAGCAGGCATGAAACAATGGAGTCGCACCATCTATAGTTGTCACATTTACCTGAACATAAAGAACAGCATGTTTCACGAAATCACTGAAATTCTGGGGGGAAAAAAACCTTTTACTTCACATTTTATGGTTTAAGTTATTACCAAATAATATGATATAATGATAATATATATATATAAAATTGTAAAATATAATATCTATAATATAATTGTTTTTAATAATTGTATAATATATATAATTAATGATTATATATATATATATATATATATATATATATATATATATATATATAAAAGCTATGATATTTTTAGAGAATCCATTATTGAATTAATACAATAAAATATATTTATAATTTAAACAAAATAAATAAATAAACATATATTGCATTTCAGCGTAACTGAATATATATATTATATAGGCAATATATTTAGCAAATTTACTAAACCCAGTAAAAGAAGCCTATAGGCCATTGCTAATCAAGACCTCTGAAATGAAAGTGTTACCAAGCAGCCCTGCAGAGACTAACGTTGGCTCCGGCATCTATCAGGGTTCTGGCACAGGCAACATGACTCCCTATGCATGCCTCGTGAAGAGGGCTAATGTGGTCTATTGTCAGCACATTCACGCTGTGGCCCTGAGGACAGATTAAGAGAAATGAATATTGCATTTGAATGTGCAGGATTCTTTTATTCCAGATGGTGGCAGCAATGCCCTTTCACCAAGGTGCATTATGGATTGCAGCGTTCACCTCTACACCAAATGTGTATTTCATTACTAATCCAGTAGAGTGCATGTGACTACATGGTATAAATACTGCACACATTAATACAAGTACATATATCTAACAGTTGAACTAAAGGTCATTTAAATGAGAAACTACCTGAGCAATGAGGGTCTTGAGGGCCAGCAGACGTCCTTGGCTGGCAGCATCATGAAGAGGGGACCGGTCTGCCCAAGACCCTGGAGAAGAATAAAAACAGTGATTTTCCAGGAAATTTAGAAAAGAATTGTGTGTGTGTGTGTGTGTGTGTGTGTGTGTGTGTGTGTGTGTGTGTGTGTGTGTGTGTGTGTGTGTGTGTGTGTGTGTTGTGTGTGTGACCACCAGAAATGTGAATCAAAGCCAAAAGTCAATCTGTTCATCCTATCCTAAAGAAACGGTGTCTCTTGCTTCAGACAATTTGGACTAAACAGCTCAATTCATATGGATTTATGATCTCTTTATGAACTTCTTGAAGCGTCAAAGTGGTAGTTGCATACAGTATCTGTTAATGAAGGGATTGAAATCTCTCAGATTTCATTAAAAATGTCTTCATTTGGTTTCCAAAGATGATTGAAAGTCTTACGGATTTGGAACGACATGAGGTTGAGTCATTTTTGACAGAATTTTGGGTGAACTATCCTTTTAATATTTAATGTTAATATAGGCTATTGTCACTATGTTTCTTAAAACATGAATTTCTGTTTATTTTCAGATATAAGTGGGATTTTTCTAGATTTTCACTGCATGCATACATACAGTATATAGCATCATCACAAAAGCTGATATGTTAGTGTGTACACACCTGAGTCAATATCCAGTATAACAGCTGATGCATTCCACACGTCATCATCATCATCGTCACCTCCCTTCATCACTCACTCAACTATAGTATAATACTATCCGTCGGGTAAATGGACCAACTGTCTGTTGACTATTTCAATTTTCCTTCTTTTAGTCTCACATTCAAAAACAATTAATTCAAGAACACAGCTCACTTTTGCACTAAGGATATTGTAAGTCACTCCACGTACACACAAAACATCTCAAAGCACCCACCTTGGCTGGTTAACCAGCTTAGCAAGACTTCCACTTTGACGGAGCTTGTGTCCCTTCAGGAAAATGTTTTCTCCTTATATCATTTTCTTCAAAAAAAAATGCTTTAAAAGAGTCACTGTAGCTGTCTGTTTTTATTTTTTTATTTTTTATTTTTTTTATCTCAGTTGCCCTACTTAAGTTGCTTAGTAAATGCCACACTACGGAAATCCCCTGTGACTATCCCCCCATCTCTGTTCCTCTTTCCCTGATCTTAAACTTGGAGAAGCAGTTTTCTGAGATCCTCTGTAAAGACAACTTGTTTACACCAAAAGCCCTTGCTATGGCCCTGACTGCACTATTTAAACCTTAGCAGACAAGTGTCTGGCTGCACAAATGCTTGATAAACTCATGATAACTGCTTTCTTGTGTCAAAGGGGATGGGGTGCATGGCCTCAATTCTATTTATACAGCACTGTAAACAGCAGCCTGGCAGCCATTCCTGGGATTTGGTTACATGCATACTTTGTGAACTTCAATGTGCTTAATGTTGCATGTTTAGGATCTGTGGTCATGTGATCGTACATAGCCTGCTGTGATGCAATTAAGCACACACATATGAATCTGAAGTGTGTGTTTTCTGTAATGCAGAAATGATATCTCGTGAAATGGAGTTTTTAAAAGTATATCTAAAACACCATCATGTAAACTGGTACTCCCTGTTGTGGTCCTTATTATCACATGCAATATTATGAATAAATAAATCTACACAGCAGGAAAACCATTGCGCAAAAATAATATTCCCCATGCTCCATGTCTATCCTCCTAGCAAGCAGGCCATCATTAAAGGGCAAAACGCTGGCAATAGGAAATGAAATCCACAGCAGTGATGTAAGCGTGTGCTCTACTTACCATGCCCTTGACCATTCTCATAGAACTCAGCTGAAATCCGCGCAGCCTCCTTGCGGTTGCCTCTGATGATGTAGAAGTGTGTGAGTAAATTAAGGGTTATTCTTACGAAAAGTTTGAAGCAGAAGAGGGCCAGGATGGTGAGGTAAACATTGGACAGCTGTGCTGTAAATGGCCTGTAGTCGTCAGAGGTCTCTATCATGGCTGTTAGTTTTAAGAATGTTTTGTGGCAGGATAAGCTATGACCTGCTGTATGCCACCCCAACAGCACCCCCCATGCACTTGGGTCCTTACTGCAGCTCAAGAAAGATTTGGATATCCATTGTTTTCAAAGGAAAAGTTCTGCGAAAATGACAATTCTGTGTGGATTCACAACTGTGCTGTAATTTTTATTTCCATGGAAGACTAGGTCTCCAAAAAAGGCAACCAAGACCTTGGTCTTGGACTCTGTGATGAGAAGCACCTTGCTGGGGACAGAGGAGAGGGTCCTGACCAGTGACCAGTCTATGGTCCTGACCTGTCCTGCCCACAAATGCCCAGATAGCTCAGACAGTAATAACCATTTATGAGTTGAATTTGTATAACACTGAACTTCTTTTCACTGTTTATTCCAATCAAACTGACTGAAGTGATTTGCAGTAAGAGGTCCATGAATACATTGATCATGTACACTTGACAGATTTTTAAATGCATTGTGAATGAATTGTGATGAGGCAGCTTCTAAGGATAGTAATAATTTAATATAGGCCTACCAAAAATTTACTGTGTTAAATCTTTGATATCAATCAGTTTCAGTGACAATAGCCTAAATATATTCAGTAAAAACTTGTTATTCAATGGAATGGTATGTCCAATAGGATATTTCCCTAGGAAATAGGTCTACATTTGCAAATAGGCTAGCCTGTTTAAAAAAATTATAAAAAACGACTATTTACATTCTGGATTCCTAGGTAAGGTTCATAATATAATGAAGTTACTGTTAGGAGCATAGACAGTAAAAGAGGTTAGGAGCCTACCCTAAGCAAGTTACGTTTTTACGCCATGACGCCTGTGGGATACTGACGTATCGACGCACGTCACATGCGCAGCCGCAGATTTGAATTTCTGGCGGGTTGTCTCGACAGTAAAGGAGGTTCTTCTCTCTCAGTCAGTTCGCTTTGGACAAACATTAGTGACGTTTTTGATAGTCGATCAGATTTATTCGTTCTTTGCTTATAGAGACTGATACATTACATTTCACCATGGTCGAGGGTCCGGGATGCACTTTAAACGGAGAGAAGATTCGTGCAAGAGTTCAAAAAGGACAGAACGTTTTAGACATACGAGGAAATGAAAGCAATAAATCAGTAAGTGACAGTTCAGCTGATGAAGTAGCAGACCTGCGTAAATGATAAACATTTGAATGTTTACTTGTTTTCTTTCTATTTCAGTCTGAGGCCAGTACCAGGAGCTCTTTCCAAAGCTTTGTGGGCTGTGAGTTCACAGGGGTGGAGACACTGGGGAAAGAGCTGTTCATGCATTTTGGCTTCAGAGCTCTGAGGTTTGTATTAAACGCGAATTAATTAATTTATGCGTTGTGTTTTAAATTATTATTTTATGTAGTGATTTGTTAGAGGCCATGGACCAAATGACAGTTTCTTTCCCGATGAAGGCAGATTGAAATTTTCTGGCTGGCTTCCCAGAGCCCTGTTTAGATTCGAAAAGCACTAAAGTCATGAAATTATGTCCTGATTTATCATTACAATGCTTTGCAGACTAGGCAGCAGGGATTTGTTTTACATTATATATATATATATATATATATATATATATATATATATATATATATATATACTGTACATATACCGTATATTCATATTTAATGTTCTCAAAAAATCATTACATGTTGGTTTGGTATACAGTTTCATTGATATTTCCAGAAAACCTGGAAATATCAATGAAATAAAAAAATAAATAAAAACATTAAATTTCGCAACCTTGTAAGTCATGAAAAATATATATCTATTGGCTAGTGAATAGATTTTCCTAGTCTCTGTTGTTGTGCTCTAAAATACTTCATTTTCTTTGGAAGTGCTGAATTTGCTCTCTAGCAGGTTCGTGTGATTAGCTTCAGTCTGTCCCAGGGTAACTGTCTGTGTGATTGATATTGAGGCAAATGCTTCTTGCTAATATCTCTTTCATATGGGCCTCAAAGTGGTTTACATCTAAAAATGTGTACTTTACCTACAAATGAAAATCTGTCACATATTTAATAAATGATATATGAAAATCCTTTTCCAGTAATCGCAAATGAGTGGTAAGGTGATATAAATTCAATTTAATAAAAAAGTGTAATCCTTTCAAGTTCACTTTATGTGTTTTGGGTTTAGACTGCACTTCGGCATGAATGGTTCCTTGAGAATAAACCCCCTGGAGAAAGACTTGAAAGGAAAAACCTCAGTGCTGATTATTCAACTTACCAATGATGCTGTCTGTTTTTTTGACACAACTGCAGAAATCAGGTAAAATGTCTTCTAATGGCTATGGTTATAACATTTTTATTATTAGCCTGACATTGTCATACTAATATTATAGTCAGAATGTGAATCTGAAACCTCTCCATTGGGCTGTGTGAGTTTTACCAGATTTTTTTTTATGGGGTTTCAACGGAACCAGGAAAAAAAATGCCTCAGCAATCAATTGTAATGACCGAATTCCATAGGAAGGACGGCAAAAACATCTTTCTGATCAACAAATGCCTTGATAGCGGTTCTCTGTTCCTCTTTTAAAATGAATGAGCTGTATAGATCTTCTATAACAGACGCGATGGCTGAATCTACACTTCTAAATTCTAAAAAAAATAAGTTCAGCTGGCATCCAGGCGATTATATTATGGGATAAGTATAACATTTAATCCTGGATTAGCCTGCATCTTTAAAAGTCCTTGTGAATAACTTTTTTCTAATGTACATCTGGGAGGTCAGTTTATCAAGTGCAGGTTTCAAGCAGGCAACATCCCTGTCGCAGAAATGCTGGCACAATCATAACTCAGTGTGATCCAGACAGCCCAAACTAGTCTTTTCATTTTTACACTATTCTGACTCCCCAGGAAATAGTTTTTCTGTTTGCTTCCCTTAGACTCTCAGATGACTGTAAGCAGAAAGTTAAAGCCATGGAGGCTCTCGATATCTGTTCACCAAAGTTTAGTTTCTCTCGGGTGGTGGAAGCTGTAAAGAGGGAGAGTGCGAGAATGCTCTGTGATGTTCTGTTGGATCAGGCTGTCCTACCTGGTGTAGGAAACATCATTAAAAACGAAGCACTCTTCGACAGTGGCCTGAACCCTGCTGTCAAGGTACATTTTGCTCTGTGCAGTTCCATGTTGGATGTTACAGTTGAATGGATGTTTCACACCTTATTTAAAAAAAAAAATTAGGGTGTTATTTTTTTAAAATTATTTCTTCTGCACTTTTAAAGGTCAAGCAGTTGACAAGTGAACAAGTTCATCATCTTGTGAAGATGACACGAGATTTCACACTCCTATTTTATAAGGTATTTTTTCTCTCTCCATTATTCTTGACAATAAATTTGCTTTTTTTATGTTTTTTTTGTCAGATCTGCCTTATTTTTATTTCGATTCTTTTCAAAACAGTGTAGAAAGAATGGATCCCCACTTTACAAGCATTACAAGGTGTATAAACGTCCTAACTGTGGCCAGTGTAGCGGAACGGTCACCGTATGTCGACTGGGAGACAACGGTAGAATGACATACTACTGTCAGCACTGTCAAACAGGTGATCCAAGTGAAGTGAACATCAGGTTAGCTGCACCCTCCTCTCATGGCTACTAGGGGAGTAACAATACACTTGTGTCATGATTTATTCAATTCGATACATGATATACTGATCTCATAATAGATTGCAAAGCCAAAATAGAGTTAAAAAAAACATTTTTTATTACTTCTACCACATAGTTAACAGATAACACTGAAGGCACTGCTTATTAAATAGAACAAGTCAGGGGTGGACTTGGTCTGTCGTACCATTCACAGGGTAATGATGACACCACAATAGACATGTTCTGTTCATGATTCTGCTTAGCTAAAAATACCCTTTCCCTGACTACATGCATTTAAAGTTTTAAATATGTATTTCAGTAAGTAATGAATTTTACTTTTTATGTAATAATTATTAAGCTCAAATGGGACGCCCTCTGAGTTTATCATATTTGATGCACCATTACCATATCTCAGGGGTGGGTTTTATACGTTTTTATATTGTGATCAATCTACTTTTCAAGCGAATCATAGAGATATTTTATGTCCTTGTAATAAAATACAGCAATGACTAGTGCCTAATAGATGGCTGTGCTGACTGGCCAAATTATATCATGCATCTTCATGCAAGGTGACGCATTTGAAAAACACCAGCAGTAAGGCTGTTTTGTTTCGTTTTTTTTATTTTGGCTTCCAGCTATTATGAAAACGTGATAATCAAGATAAAATGATCATTGTGCCACATGCCGTTCCTTTCCTTTAAAGCAGTCAGCTTTAGCCCTGCTTTAAAAGCCTAAAATGAATGTCCACATCAGTCGAATCATGTAATGTGACTGTCTTAAAATGCTGTCTACTGCTGGACATGATTTATTTTAAAAAGAATTATTATAAGCTAGGGGTGTAACGATACCCCCATGTTACTATTCGATACATATCACAATATGGTATTTGCATTAGGCACTTAAACGCTGATGCAAATACCTGCTGCTGTCTGTGTCGATGTTAAACAAAAGACAAAATCACTTACTGCTTTTGACTGAATAAGAATCAAAGTATATTTAATTCATACAGTGAAGACTATAGAGTGTTTCAAAGTTTAACTCCATGTATTTTTAAATTGTGCAAATAAGATAAGTCCACCACAGGCTTGTTCCAGTCTGGATATTCTCAAAATTGTGAATATCACAACAATTCAGATTGTGGATTGTGATTCTTTGTTATAAGATTGTGAAATAAAATTTTGGGAAGATTGCCAAACCATATCTGATGTTAAATTTAAATATGTCTTAACTTTCTTTTTGGGTAAACTATCCATTATTCATAATACACATTGTTGCATTTTTGTATTGCAATTTATTGTTACATCCCTAATAGCCACCTATTCATATACACATATATACACATCCAGTTGCTGAGAATCCAGATGCTGACTCTTTACTTTGACAGTAAACTTCCAACTCGCAACAGTCTGATTGGATGGGCTTATCAGGGAGGAATGAGCAACAATGATGATGTGGCGAAACGAGAAGAGGAAGAGTGGGCGTGTTCCCTTTGCACTCTAATCAACAGACCAGTCAACAAGAATTGTGATGCTTGTATGAGCCCTAGACCAGAGGGTAAGTTTCAAACATGCGTATATAAAGTGAAAGATTTCAGACACAGAGTCGGGGATTAAAGTTATCCTACGGCAGGTTTCCTTCAATTGCAAGGTTCCCGCCTGTCCTTATGTCTTAAATTCACTTTTCATAATTTT